TGAACAATTAAAACCAGGATTTCAACACATTATAGAGCCCACAACTATAATATGAAATTGCCAGCAAAACAACCATATGAGGTTCTTGCTCTCATATTCAATTTCTTGTCTAGAAACATCAAAAAATAAACCAGAGCATGGAAAAACGGCAACATACCACACCACAGCTGAATATATCCACTTTTTCTGTTAACTGCCCATGTCTGACAAAATCTTCTGGCAGGTAAGTAAGAGAAGCTTGCAGGACTTTGGTTTTCATCACAGCATATTCTGATTTTTTATCAGAAGAATGCAGCCGCAGTCCAGAATGCCCAAGCTTTGGTGTAAAGTTTTCATCCAACAGCACATTTGAGCTGTGATAATGACAGACAAATAACAATATTGGTCAAATAATTATTTTATCTTGTGGCAAAGAGTTAGTTTTATACTTTTAAACTTAAGCACTGAAAGTGTCAAGCATTTGGCCTCCTGCATAGCACTGAAAGGATTAAGAATGTTAGAAAGCAAGAAGGGGAAAAAACAAGCACCCAAAAATTCAAAACAATTTACTGCCATTATTTAGGAAAGAGAGACAGGTTAAACAAAAAATGGCAAAGGCCCTACAGAACAAGGGACAGCAGAAAATACTGCAAATGGATTTCCAAATTGTATAAACTTTAGCCGTGACTAATTACCAGGTAACCAAGGAAGTGCTGATATGTCAAAGCACTCACCTCTTGATGTTCCCATGAAGAATTCCAAAATTATGCAAATACTCCACTGCTCTGACAACTCCTAAAGAAATGCTAATTCGCATCTCCCAGGTCAGCGGAGCAGAATCATCCTGCAAGGAAAGGAGGAAAAAATTGGTAATTAATGGAATAAAACACTGTAAGACATCGATAGTTTAGAAAACCAAAGGCTCAGCTGAGTCCCAGTCAAACTCCAGGCAAAACTCCAAACCCCAGAAAAGCTGCTGCCTTTCTGGTGCTTGCAGCCAGGGCTCTGGGCACCTTTTTTTTCTGTCTGTTTCTCAGAAATCAAAGAGATGCAATTGTTTTTCCTGGAATTGCAGGAGAGGACTTGCAATCACAAGTAGGTGTCAGCCCCAGATTATTACTCACGTGGCACTGCAGCTTGTTTTGCAGGGAGCCATTGGGCAAGTAGGGATATATCAGACAGTGTGATCCAGTTTCCACCGAGAAGCCCAGCAGCTGCAGAATGTTTATGTGACAGCACCTGCAGGCACAGATCAGCAGCGATTTGCAAATGATGTAAGAGCAGCGCAGGAAAATACATTCCCGAGCTGGAGTAAGTTCCTAAATTCAAGGCAACTGGAAGGGTGTGCTGCAGCTGGAGGCACGGCTGGAGGCACAGCTGGAAGCACAGCTGAAGGCACAGCTGAAGGCACGGCTGGAGGCACGGCTGGAGGCACAGCTGGAAGCACAGCTGGAGGCACAGCTGGAAGCACAGAAGAAGGCACAGCTGGAGGCACGGCTGGAGGCACAGCAGGAGGCACAGCTGGAGGCACGGCAGGAGGCACAGCTGGAAGCACAGCTGAAGGCACAGCTGGAGGCACAGCTGAAGGCACAGCTGAAGGCACGGCTGGAGGCACGGCTGGAGGCACAGCTGGAGGCACGGCTGGAGGCACAGCTGGAGGCACAGCTGGAGGCACAGCTGAAGGCACGGCTGGAGGCACGGCTGGAGGCACAGCTGGAGGCACAGCTGGAGGCACAGCTGGAGGCACAGCTGGAGGNGTTTCCTCTGGAGTGTTCATGGAGAACCCACAAGTGCTGCTTCCGCAGATGTAATAATGCTCCTTTAATTTGTTTGCAGCCATTTCCATAATTTCACGTACCTGTTTGTAACAACCGAATCTGTGAATGTGTAATAATTGCTGTACCCCTGCTAACACGTATTCTCCTATGTCAACACTCACAAAATAAGCATGACATGAATGTTGTAGCTTTACACCCTGATGACAAGGCGACTTACATCTTGGCCATGGATTTAAAATATTACCTCTGCTATGTTTGAATTCTTCTTTCTCAGGCAAAGGCAGCTGGCTGATGCAAAATCAACAGCCACCTCTTCCAGCAAGTGCCCTGCTTTTCTGTCTAGGTATTTGCAGCAGATTTCCTTGGCAGCCAGTTTTTCCAAATTTTTTCCTTTGGAGTCTGAGCTTTCTTTTGCTGTTTGAATTTCGTCGGCAATCATATCTTTCTGTTCAAAGGAAGGAGATGCATTAGTGAAGGCATTTATTTTTGTCTGAATCTCTGAAAATCAGTATTGCTGTGTATTTGTCATTGGGGTTCCTCAATGCCTGGTTTACAGACTGAAAACCTTTAATGATGTCTGTTCATGCAACTGACTGAAATGTTTGTTCTCACAGGAGAGAAAAAGGCCAGTGGCTTTCTCTGCATGTGCCCAATGTCAAATTCCCTAAAGCAGGGCAAGCTCTTCCTGGCGTGTGCTCATTTATATAGGAATGCAAAAGAGCCAACACAGTGTAGGGCAGCATTCTTACGCAGGCCTTTATAACACACGTTAGAGAAATCAGCAACACAGGATCTTTGATTTTCTGAATCCCTCTGGACACTCTGAATTGCTTGCAGATAGTGGGAATACTGCTGCTCTCCCCTCCAAGGCTTCAGCCAGACAAGAAATCAGGAGCAATGCCACAGAAGGAATGCAGGTCAAGGCTGCTTTCTACAGATGGTGTTAATGCATTCAGTGAGTTTGGCTCTTCTGACTGCTTGTGAAAGTGGTTCATGTAGCTCTACCCTCAGCTTGGAAAACGGGTGAGGACATCAGTTCCAGGCACGAGCACAAGACAAATGCCTGATAAACGTCATGATGAGCTTCTGCAGCTCCTGCCCACCCAGGTTCCCCACTCACTGTGGCTTATACCACCTCCTCCTGGCACACAGAAAATGTGCAGCAGCATTTCAGCACAAAGCCTTGTCTCCTAAATATTCATCTATTTTGCAGTCTCTCCCAATGCAATTCAGGCCAGCACCCATGAGTGGGTATGGGAAATGGGAATATCTACTGTGCTTCTGTTCTAATGGCAGGCAGGCTACTGACATTCATAGAACCAGGATGTGGCTCCTAAACTTCCCTTCTGCAGGACATGTACAGCAGACAGCAAATATCAAATTGTATTTAAATAAAATTAAAATTATTTTTATGACAGCGACCCCATTAATTTCTATTGGTGTTCATTACTGCTGCTTTTTCTTACCAGGTAAATCAGGTGTCTGTCTTCATCCAGTGCCTTCATCCCAGTCAGTACCTCTGCTAAGACCTAGAAAGTATATTTGAAAGATAAAATTATTTGTTCAGAATGAACTATAATTTTAAAACTAAGTTTCTAACTAAAGAAATATTGAACTTTCAGTGCATTCTGGTATTATATTTT